CCAGGCCACTTCCGAATGACTCTCAAGTACTAGTGTATTTGGACATTGGTCGTTAAGCTGATAAAATCTACAGTTCCTACAGTTTTCAGTTGTCTTATCCTCTTTTTGAAGCACAGACGGATCGAAGGGTCTAGAGCTAAAATAAAGGCCCAAAGTAGCTCTAAATTAAAGTAACTCTAAGGGGCAGTGTTACAACTCTATTCCTAGTTTTTATATAGTTCCAGGATGGGAGGGGATTCTCCTCTCTACACCCAGTTGCCTCACTCTTGTCCCCTTCTCTCCCCTTTCCCTCCGCCAGGGGTTCGTCCTGGGTCTGCCTCTATTTTAAAGCCTTCAATTGAAAGCTGCTAATGGGTGCTGCTTACGCTCATGGTCTGTTTTAGCTAGCGATGGCCGATGAAGAACTGGAGGCCAATGTTGCAGCTGTGATTGGTGCAGTGTGCGCACATCGTAATCCTGCCCTAGGTTGCTGGCTTTTTTTTTTAATACACTTTTTAACGACCGAATCTTCAACTCTTTGATGTTGAGGAGAGAAATGACAAATTTCCAGCCGATTGAGAGTCAGCTTAATTTACAACCGGCTCCACTGTTCTGGACGCTAACCCTGCCAAATTTAAAAACGAGCCACAGGTAGCTGTAGGCCATTTTTGCGCTTCTGGATGTGATTTAGCCCTAGGCTTTTTATACCAACTAGTCCTGATTTCATCCAACCGCTTCCTTCCAGTGTATTACTTCGTGTTCCAGGGCCATTTATAAATCGCGCCCTGCTTATGGTCATCCCAGGCGATGCTCATTTCGCGCTCAATATAACGCCGTTTGTGCCCATCCCAACGGAGCAACAAATCGAACAAGTATACATCTTTTTCTTTTTTTTTTTTTTTTCTAATAGTTCATTAATTGACGTTCTGGACGAATATACTGCGGCGGACAAGGGCCTGTGCGAACTGCAAACATCGATACCCCATGCTTTTGACAGTCCGAAGAGTTCACTGACTTGCTCGACCAGCATCCTTTTGTCTTTTTTTTTTTCAGATCGGAAAAAGGATGAAAAAAAAGAAAGCGACAGCAGCAGCAACAGCAGAAGAGAGCCAGCCAAGCGACAGTGCCGAAAAAACATCTGATCAAAATGATGAACTTGCAGACAGCAATGTGTAGCAGGGATTGCCCGGACAATTTATTATGCCCTAAAAGCCGCTGCTGCAGCGATTATCGATGAGATTTCATTGTTGCCTGTACTTTTTGAACAAAAATCCACAAATCTAGGTTTTTGACTCATTCAGGCGCTTTATGAGTTACGCACTACAAGCCATGCACTGCGGAACATTAAACTCGCATCCTGAAATCAGTTTACTGTGCATATTTCATGAAGTGGCCAGACCCAGCGACAATATTTTGCCCCCCAATCACCTGTCCCCATTGTGGCTTAACAAATCTGGCAACACATTCTGTTGTAAATCTCAAAATTTTTTCCACGGAGACTGTCAAATATTTCAGTATCGTACACAGCAAAAAACAAAATTTTTTTCGAACTCAATTTACACCGGATT